ATCAAGGGGTTAAATTTTGGCTGTCAGTTGTTCTGTGAAATATTTTCACTCTTGTGTACTTTCATTTCCCATTTAAATCAGTCATGCCCTAATCAAACATTGAAGGGTCACCTATCCCTGTAATAACAACTCAGGCCTTAATCCGCAAACAATGTTGAATACTTTCTGTCATCTAGGAAATCTGAAGGAACTTCAAAAATTAGTGGTGCAATCAAATCAACTTGTGAACTTGCCAAGGGGGATTGGGTAAGTGTTTCTTGATGGAGCTTAAATACCTATAGGAAAGGACAGAAAATTGTAAGATCAGCTGTTTAGGAGTCATTAAGGTTTAGTTTTAATAAGGGAATAAATACTTATTTACATACGCTGTTTTAGTCAGAGAGTCTAATAGAAGTCAATATTGAATAAATTTCCAAGAATTTTGTTCTATAATTTCACTTTCATTTTCCCAAACACCCCTGTCCATTTTTATGGTATATTCCTTGTGCAAGTTGTCCAGAAGAATCTCCTTATATGGACTTGGAGTTCGCGTTGCGCATTCTGCATTCTGCATCGCACACAGACTCTTGACTAATAGGAATGGATTAAATTGTCTCGTATCCAGGTGCCAGCGTGTTGGCTTGTCTCATATTTGGTGCCAGGGCATCAAATCACAGCAGGAATTAACAAATGTTAATACACAGTCACGTTGCGTGATTTTGAATAGGGAAACTGAGGTATTTATGAATATCACTTTGTCCTCTTTGTGTATAGGCGGTTGACCAACTTGACTAATCTTGGAGTTGGAGAAAACAATCTCAATTCTCTGCCAGAAGAAATAGGTATGTGCCAACCCTACCACTCTCTATCACAAGCTCTGTGAAGCACAAGAGAATTGCTTGGTTCTGTCAAGGCAATGTCTGAGTTTTGTGCCTATAGGAGCTAAGAATGGACCAGAGAATGTTGGGTGCAGTGATGACCATGTCATGACCCAAAAAAACCAGAAAAGTTACCCCAAATACAACCCCCCTCCCAAATCTGATTTAGGATCCATCATCGTCTGCTAATGTTGTATTTAAGTCCATCACAAGTCCCTTCACAAGGCCACTCACAAGTCCCTTCACAAGGCCAGTCACAAGTAACAGGGTGAACAATGACAAAGGAATGCTTTTGTCACAGCTCATTTGAATAGCTTGTGAATTGGCTTAAGGCTGAATGACTTGTGATGGACTTCCAGGGACTTGCAGGAACTTGTGCTGGACTCAAATACAAGACTTGTGTACGGCTTTGGGAATATTTTGCCATGATCAGATGCTTAGGCACATGCTTACAACAGACAAAAGTGTAGCTGTGTAAGGCAGACTTTAGGTACGGTCTTTAGATATCTCAAATTAATGTGATGCAAGAAATGCATATGCCATTGAATGGGTTTAGGGCAAAGGATTTCTTCCATAGAAGTAAAAATGTGTTTGGCGTCTGGCATCTTCTTTATTCCATAAACATATGCAATGAAATGGTAATGCTTATCACAAATAATGTCCTACTTAATACATAATGAGCCTGGTTTTTCCATTCCATCTCAAAGCCAAGGAGGGGCAGTTTCCACCACATAAGAACTAGGCCGTCCTCTGCCTGATCTGTTTTTAAACTCAGCATGCATGCATAGTCACTCATTGTCGGAACAAATGAAAAGTTTCAAATCAGTCTGAGTTATATCCATTTGAAGTTCAGGACCATGTGTGTGTGAGCTCCCATGCATTAATCATGTCAGCAGAAAAAGTACAGATTTCTGGCTGACCCTTCTCAGAAAATTAAGGCTCCGTAAGAATGCTATTATGGATTGTCATGGATTGGTGTTGATATGACTGGAAAATTACTCTATAAACTCCTGAAGGCTTGGTGCTTAAAAAATGGGATGATACTTGAAGAGATCTTTAGGTGGGACGAATTCTGCCCTTGTCAGCTTTTTAAGGGTTAATCCGCCTTGAGCAGAAGCACCCCTCATCAGTGGAAGAGAGCCAAGTTGGTTGGGAACGTTCATTTTGTAGGTAGCGATGCTACTGTGGCGTGTTTATCTCAGTCATTTGTGCACCAGCAAAGTGCAGTTCTGACCAAAAAGCCTCTGTTGCTAAGAAATTTGCGCCCTCTTTTGGTCTATCTCTTGGCTGATTAGTCAAGTCTTCTTTCTTTTTGTTTTATCTTCCAGGAACGTTGGAGTTATTGGAGCAGTTATACTTGAATGACAACCCTAAACTGAATGCACTGCCCTATGAGTTAGCCCTGTGCAGTTCATTACAAATCATGAGTATTGAGAATTGTCCACTAGCTAACATCCCTCCAGAGGTAACTGCAGGAGGACCATCATTGGTCATTCATGTAAGTTATTTCTCCCCCGGTAGTGAGCCATCTTGTTCCTATGATGTGATTACTGCCACCTTTAGCAAGCATTCCTCCAGAGATAACTCAAGGAGGACCATTGTTGGTCATTGTTTCATCTCTCAGCTTTACAGAGAGTTTGACTAGCGTTGCTCTTCGTGAAAAATCTCAAGTGTATGATTCACCCAATCAAAGCCAAAAGGAAGGGAATTCATGATGTTAACTATTAAAAACTTGAAAATTGACAGTCTTTTATTTTTATTGTAATCACACTTGTGCTGGATGTCTTGTCCTTGTAGTTTCACTCGAGCACACTCTAGCTTGGTTCATTTTGACCAAAGGAATAAGGATCATCAAAAATCTTCCTGGATCTCTGACCCTGCTTCTGTTTTGCATTGACAAATCCAGACAAGTTTTGTCCTATTTCTGATTTACAGTTCCTGAAGATGCAAGGACCATACCGGAATATGGTGAACACTTGAGACTTATTCATATTCAGGGACCACGTTGTCACATGTAAGCCATGGAGATTGTTAATACATATTCAAGGGCCATCCTACAAGCAGCCTATGACATTTTAATGCAGATACCAGAGAAACATGAATAACATTCTGGAATCTGCAGTTCTTCAATGTGGTGCTCTGTTGAGACACCCAATTGTACATACCCAGTTATCCAGGGCCACAGGCGAGAATGTAAGACTCACCAAATATACAAATTTTGTACAGAAAGCAGATAATTAATGTGTGTGTCTGTAATAAATTGATACCATCAGAACCGCCATTGTGTTATGTCTGTGATACATTGTGTTGCCATGGTAATGCTAACCAGATACCGTACTGCCCAGTCACATCTTCTTGTCTTTCCATGTCTTTTTCCAATGAGCTGTTATCACTTCGTATAACTTACTGCTCACAGCACCATGTTCACACACAAGACCCAAGACTTCACACGTTACTGTGGATTCCTGTCAGCAAAATGGCTACATACGCTACATACTAAGAAATGTAATCGGTGCTTAAACTTGAAAGAAGTTGGTGAATTTGCCAGAAAACTCACAGTCATCTAACCTCTTTGCATGGTGTCTGTACTTTGTATTGTGTCGGTGATTCTTTGAAAGGCTGCGTCTGAATCACTTGGCTGTGGCTAGAAAATACACACAAATTTATGGAAACTGGCTGTGGCCACTACCATAGACTTGTGTGTAATCTCTACCCGCAGCCAAGTAATTCAGACATGGCCAAAAGTACCAGTTGTTAGCCTGTTTTGAATGGTTTACAGTGGGGGGGGGCATTTGTATTTACAATGTGAAAGCTTTGTACTTCTTAGAGTTGATTTTTTTTTTCTTTTTGTCAATGCTGATATCATCAAGGGGCTCCTAACCAAGTCAGAGTCACTTTGTCTGCAAGGTTGCATAAGTCAACCAGACCAGATCATCTCAGACAGGTCATCTTGACTGTGGCGTGCAGCACCAGTGGTTATGTGGATGTAGTGGTATGAACCAAAGTATAAATGACCAATCAATTATTGACTCTTCTCTTGTCAGGCTTGCCCATTTAACCACTTGACGCTGGATGACATGTAAACACACATGATATTCCTTATTTGTTCCATGGAGGATGTGTATGCTTCTGTTTTCATTTCCGTGGTTGACATTTTCATGCGTCATGCTTGGTTGGAGCAAAGCACAATTGCTAGGTTGAAGAATTTGTAGGTTAAAAAACCTGCCCCCAGCAGCTTTTCTAGGCAAAAAAATCCAACGCTAACTGGCTATCCAGGGGGTACCTCAGTGCTGTTGGGATTGTCATTATCATCATAAGTACACTTGCTTCTATGTAAACCTCTGAATTTGTCTTTCATTTGTACAAATGAATGGTACTATTTGTTCATCAGGTAGAAAGCTACGTGTGTTTGTAACCAGTAAGTTTCCTTTGCATTTGTGTAGTATCCTCATACCGATGTATTTGCAGAAAAAGCAAGCGAGTCTGAGATTTCCAACAACCTACAACAAAATATCTGCTACTTCCATAGAAAACGCAATGGGCAGAAGTACCTAGCTTGTGTGTCGAATTCACCGCTATCCCATTTTGATGAAAAAAACTATAAAGAGATCAAATGAAGTTGTGTAAGTGGAACATAGGATGTAATAAATCTGTTACTTGGACATTGTCAATACATGTAGGTACCATGAAATGGGTGGTGTTTAACAAGCTTGTATGTATGGAAGATTGCCAACCAAAGGCCACTCCAGAACCTTTTTGTCGAAAAGAAGTAAGCAGATCTCTTTCATTGGGTGGCTTGGTGTTTGCTGAATAAAAAGTTAGACGTCGTTAATTTCAACTTGTCGCATTTCCTAATTGAGAACAACTCATCATCGGTTCATGGTTTCCAATTTATTACCAATGTGAAAGACAGATTCTGATAACTCAGTCTGCATGCCAGTAGTGTTGATTTTATTGTCTACAGTTCTACTGATGTCTGTTAGAACGGTACATTGGCTGTGTTACAGATTTCTCCAGTGTTCATGCTTAGTTGAGGAAGTAGATAAAATGAAAGCCGGGCAGCATCCTGTAACTATCCTCTGTTTGAATCCAGAACTATTTGGCCATGCCTATGGAATTAAGTACATGTATTTGATACCTCGCACATAGCCAAATTCTTACGTAAGCTATTACAGGTCCATATACTGATGATGTTATGGTTGTAAGGCCGTATTCTCAGGTTTGGACGACAGCTTCAAAGCGCCACGGCAAAGTGTCCATGACTGTAAGCAGTGTGATTTCACCAGTATGGTGCACAGCCATAAACCACAAAGTACCTTTTTTGCAGAAGATAGAAATTACGATACCCTTTTCACAATGTACTGTATAATGTCTAGCTGTATTAAAGCAAAAAATAAATAAACAAACTACCTTGAAGTGTCTGGTTAATGTACCTAAACACTTCTCTTTTGAGATTATATTCTTGGAAGAACTAACAGATATTGGTTCACTTCATTATCTTCGGTGGTTGAATTGAGACCGTAAGGATTGTTACCCACGTTTTTGTATGCCCTTTATAAACCTGCCAGACTGAATACATTCGTTGTGTAAATTAATGTGCATTTTTATATGTCGCCACAGCTATAAAGGTGTGATGTGTGTACATTGTAGCTTTCAGTCTTTGTGATGACATAGTCTCGGTAATCTCCAAATGAAGCGTCGGATTCAGTGTAACATAGAGTGACATTTTTAAAACATATTTGTAAATTTGTATCAGCTTTTAGAGCTTTGTTTTTCTACTAAAGGCTGTGATTTTGTACATGGGATCATGATACGTTCATGTTTGATCAGACACGGACTTGTGTTGGTGCTTTACTATCTTTACTATCAATTAGATATGGAGCGGTTGTATAAAGTAAACGGAAACAAAACATGTAGACTAAAACACCGCTAGTGTACTACTAACTTGACTGTGTTTTGAACAGGTATTTCATGCCTCCCTAAATCCACCATTGCCAATAAATAAATCAAATGGAATATTCCTGTCTAACAGCAACTTGATGCTAAATTTATAAGACTATGAATATGGAATATGATTGCTTCAGTGTAAATCTTGCAGAACAAGTCATCGCAAGTGGTATTTGGACTAAAGTAAAGGGAACATTTTAATTTGGATAGAATTCGGGAAAATGATTTTCACAATACTTCTATGATGTGGAATATCTTGATGCATGTAGGTCGACCAAGGCTAAAACGAAGCCCGTTTGCCAGTTCATGGATTCATTGTTCCATTGTTGGTTATATTAAAGCGGAACGTATCAGTATAACATACGAGGGTAATAAACGGCTGGAAAGAAATTTTCGTTCAAGCTGGTGACATCTTGTCCCAAATGCAGCAAAAGGGTCCTGGTTAGTGCCGAATCAATGGCCTTAATTAAAACCTCGAATCTGATGTTTTCTGCTGACTTCAGTTCACATCAACAATATTGGACATGGTATGACTGAGTGGTATGATTGAAGCTGAGGCAACATAGTTTTAGTCCATAGACCTATTTATATTCATTTTCTGTGTATACGAAATAGCCTGTGATTAAAACGTTGATATTTGAATTGGCGAACTTGCAAATGGTTGTCACCTCGTTCCCTGAGGCTATGAAGAATTCTAAGTTCTATATCAGTAGAAGGTGAATAAACTATAGGTCAAACCGGCAGTTCCCTGGATTCCAAGCAGGACCAAATCTGGTGTTTATTCCTTGACGCTTGGATAGACGATGTCTTTTATAGATGCATTTTCCACCCAAGAGCAACCTCAAATGGGCGCAGTATATTGAAAATTCAGAGAGACCCGAATGCAGATAGGTTTAAAACAGTGTATTCAACTGCGCTAAATGCTTCTTATGCCTGAAGCTCTAATAATTCAGTGTCTATCCAGTCACTTAGGATTTGTCAGTATTAAATGAAGAATGCACAGTTAACTGAAAATTCTTGAATAGAATAAGAACTGGCACTTCCCTAATAGGCTGACGCCTCAATAATGGTTTAAAACATTCAGCAAGACAATTCATTGGTCTGGCTGGTTTTATAAGGTTTTATCCTTTGCCTATTTGCCATTAGCAGAAGCACCCGGTACCCTTCATTGGTTAAAGAGAGCCGGGTAGATGGGAGTATTCATTTTGGCGGTAGCGACGCGAGTGGGACGCGTGTTTCATAGTCGAATGTGAACCAGCGAAATGTCGTTTCGACCAAAGGAAAATTACACCCTTTCTTGGTCCCTCTTGGGGCTCATACTGACGAGCTTTGCGTGTTGCTTGTAAAATGCAATGACATGTCATTTAAAGTGGCAAGTCTCCACGCCCAAACCACGAAACTTTATAAAACGGTCTTCCCCTGAACATTTTCCCAATATTGCGCAGTGCGTTTTTTTCACTAGTTGACTCTGTAGGGGTTTTCAGAAATGGCCTAATATGTAACGATAGTGTGTCTGCACGAGCATACCAACTTTCATTAAAAAAAAAAGGCTCTTAGTTTTAGGATTAAAATGGTGGTCGTTTTGTTCTCCCTAATAAATAATTTTTCACTGAAAAATTTTTCTGAGGATCTCAGAATTCGACTACGTAATCTTCAAGGCTGTGTATGACGATTGACTTTTTCGATGAATGATATACGCAAACTACTGCCACGTTCACAACGGTCTCGATTCAAATTCGCTTGATTGGTCTCCGGGTGATAGCTTACTGTACGTAATGAAAAACCTCTCAAGAATTATTGCACGAAACCCAATTAGGAACTTAAAGATATCAGCATGGCCCTTTTCCTCATAATTAACGCTCCTGATATAGGCCTGAAGAAAATTGAAGCTGAAGTCCATTATAGCCTAACAAGGACATGGTTCAATGATGATTGCCCACGCCATGAAAAAATGAAAAGTCAGTCATTAGTTCCAAGGTCTGTAATTACTAACATGTCCCTCACTTGAAAAAAACTCAACCGACCGGCAAGTGACCAAGGCAGGAAAAGAATACATAAGCACAACGCACCTCAAATACTCAATATTTTTCCCGTAGAAACAAAAAATCACTTTTATAGGTGATTTTTTTCTTTTGGTTATTCTCTTCATTGCTGTATGTTCTTAAGGTCTTTTACTATACGAAGAACCCCCATTTTGCATCAGTTTAGATGTACTATTGGCAAAATAGTATTTTTATCTTTCAATACCGCAGTGCTAAATGAAGTCATGTAAAGCTCAGATCTTGAATAGGCCTATATTAAAACAGATAGCGTTCTAATAGGTGTTTTTTTTTACTTGACAACGTCTTGCTCCGCCCCTTTCCTAACCTACCATCCGTAAATAGAGCAATGATGAAATCTAGTTGGCTGCAGTAAGCCGCTTCTATAAAACGGGAGGAATAAGCCAGTCGGGTATTTCAGAAAGCCACGATCTTTCGGGAACAAAGCACGCGCTTGAGTCAGCGTGTTTTGGCTGTGCTGGTAGGACAGTACTAACGCGCAAGCGTGGATCTTTTCCTAAAAAACCATGTACTGGGCATGCGCTGTTGATCGAGCTGGTTCACTCTCCCGAAATTTGCCGGGCCCATTTCTTTGGTTTTCAGTATTGTGAATATGGAAAATAGCTGCATCCGTCAACGGGAGATCCGAATTAGCACACTATATGTACCGCACGTACGTATTCCTAATGCGGTTTTCAAGCTTGTGGGGCCACGTACAGCCCTTTGAACAGATAGAGTAAGAAACCCGTCTACGTGATGTCAGAGACGCGCATCGAAAAGGAACGCAGTTACATATCGATTGACAATCCCCTAAGCAAAGTCAAAACGAAAATTACTAAATCTGAGACTTCAGATGTTTGATTCCTATAGTTGGTGTTAAACAGCTAGGACAACCAAGCAAAATTTTGACTGCGCTAACAAGAGCGCTTTCGCTGAGCCATAAGCTGGCAAGGTATACGCTATTGCTACACGATGGCATTTTGTGTACTTCAAGCGGTAGTTTGTGTGTCGACTTTGATTGGTTCAACTCATGCGGTATGTTCATCGTGCCCATTCCAATGGACTGAAAACCAAGGCAATTGCTACAGGTATTTTTCAGCTTCTTTGTTGTACAAAGATGCAGTGGAATACTGCCAGCATTTCAGCCATCGTGGTCGAAGCGCCTCACTTGCAACGGTTACAAGTTTCAACGAACTTCTATTTATTTCGAAGTTATTAGACGACGTGTTCAACGCTTCTGCATCTGATGTCCCATCACTCATTTGGCTAAACATAAACTCTATGAACACTGCAGGTAGGTACATATACATGTAGATACAATTTCTAAGTGCATTATTAGGCTTTTTGTGAAATGATGGCGCATATGATGAGTTTTGCAAGGTACTGATGATAACGTTGACATGCATATCTTGAAACTATAAGCCTATAATGAATTGTATTCCTCCGGCACGTATTGGCATTATAGTTTGTTTATTATGTGTCATTTATTGCAAATTGCTAAAGAGCATACTGCATATCCTATTTGTCCAGAGCATTACTGTGGTATACACTTGGGTTACCAATTACCCTAATATATACGGCTACCAGCAATCTTTTGGTATTTTCAAGGTAAAGGTAGGCCTACTGCTTAGATTCGTGAGCCTTGATCCTGTGTTTCGTTTGTTGGCCTATTTGAGAAGACGTTGTACTATGCGAGATTGACGCAAGCCCTGGATCCACCGAATTTATACCAAAGCGCAAAATTAATTCGCTGTCAAAAGCAATATGAAGACAGTGACTGACTTCCGTCTGAGTTCTTGTTGGTATTAAGAATACCCTATCTCTAGAAACCACAGAAGTAAAAGCTGACGACAAACAAAACGCAAAATGGAACCGATAAGAAGATGGAAAGGTCTGTTCGAAACTAAGAATTCCCCTTCCCTAATGCCTCAGCTGAGAACTGTAATGTGCAGTCACTTAGAGCAATTTGTTGAGTTAGTTATGGAGATCAATTCGTTGACGGCACATTTCACATGTGAAAGTGACAAAGAGTAATTGAGATTAAGTTGGGAGTTTTACCTTGGGTGATTCCGTTGCCAGAGCAAAAGGTTTGAGGGCTTTTCCATGTGGCACTGAATAAAAATAACGAACAATAAATATTTTGGTGTTTAACCGCCACACTTTGCACAAAAAGCAAGTTAGTTTTGCTTAAAAAAAACTGCCAAATCTTTGGTCTCCGCTGGAAGTAAACCATGCGCTGCGTCATTGTGGACGATAAATTACTACATTCTATGATTAATCGAGGCCTGCAAGTCCCGTACTATAGCGGGGAAGAGACTTTCAAGAATAATTTAGAACTGCATAAAGAACGCATATAGGCCTAATAGATAGGCTTAATGAACAGCTTTCAAAAAGTCAGTAGGCCCACATTTTATTTTTAGAAGGTTCATGGAATAACGATGTGAAATAGCACCCAAAATGCATTAATTCTAAAAGTGCACATGATTTTGAAAGTTACCATGAGATGTCGTATCTGATACCAAATGAAACGCCAAGAAAAAGCCCCAAAATTTTAACGAAATGCATTGAATTCTATGACACTCTGACTAAATCGTTATACTTATTCTGCAGTCTGGTAGACCTTTTGTTTTACGTTTACCTCTGAGGTTTACCTGAGGTTTATCTCCAAGATTTAACAGTGCGTAAATATACCTCGGTTGAAGATACATTCTACCACATAACTAAATTACTACAGAATGTTAAAAGTACACAAAAGAACCACATGTCATTCGCCATAACATGTTCCAATGTGACAAATGTCCCTGTTGTTTTGTAGATGAAGCAAATACAAACTTCAAGCTATTTTTCCCAACTATTATCAATTTTTTTACTGTTTCAGAATCGGATTTACAGCCAATACTGCTTGAGTCCTTCAGCCAGGGGAGTGACGTCATACCCTGTGAAAATAGCCCTGTAAATAATGAGAAATACCAAGTGAAAGGAAATGCAATCGCTGCCTCAATGGTTCCCGGGCCAGAGCGACTAGATCAGGCATGCACAGTACACTTGCCTGTTGAATCATTCTTAGATCTTGGAGACTTTAATGGGAGTTGCATCTCAGACCTTGAAAGTTGTCAGTCACACAGTGTGACCTGGTCCATTTGGCTGAAAATTGACACACCATCTAATTCCAAAGATCGATGGAATTACCTCAGCTCCGGTGGACAAACACAATGGGCTAGAGGAATTGCTTTCTTGTATGATGCCACTTTGCGTCAATTTTGCTTTGCAATTAGGTCCCAACACCTATACATTCTTCAAAAATATAATATTGACAAAGTACCTTTGGACAAATGGTTCCATCTGGCATTTACTGTTGACTCAATAGGCACGTCAAACATGGACTTAAAAGTTTTTGTCAACGGAGAACTGATTCAGGTAGATAACATATCATGTAAAACCAATGAGGGTGGATGGTCGGATCAGTGTACACATCTTCACATCGGCATGACAAACTCATGTCATACAGATATTTCTGTAAGTCAATATGGCGGCTCTGGTGCATTCAGCAGTTTGGTTGTATTTGATGGTCTCCTTAGCCAACAAAAGATACGAAACTTGTATGAATGTAGATTTCTAGGTAAGTAGCCACACTTTTTCAATCATTGAAAATCGTTTCTTTTGAATTTAATTATCATGGCACAAAAATCAACACTGACTGAAATCATTCGCAGAATGGGATTTCTTCTAAAGCTTTAATACGTCAATAATGCAAATGAATCGCATTTTATTTTCACTTTCTAGCAGGTTCTCAGTTTTTCTGACACCTAAGGTCCTGCAAAAGCTGACGGGGTCGTTTATTCATAAGATACGCGCGCAAGTGACGTGGCATTACTTTCTTTTGCCCATCACAGGACTGCTTACGCATTACGCAAAATGTTGGTCTGTTATGCATTATACAAAATGTTCTGCAAATATTACCACCTCGTATTAAAAATAAAGACAACTGATAAATGCAAATGTTTCTGATCTCAACCGGCCAAGGAAAACCAAATAATCCGATAGATGAACCAAAAAGTATTAAACAATACCATTTCTGATTTCAGGCCAACTACTGAACATCGCAAAAAGGGATCAGGCCGCTGTTGGTAAGTGTGTACCCAACTTATAACTTCCCCCCATTTGATTTTGGTATTTTAAATGAAATGAGTCTGCCATTTAGTGACCTCATTAGAAAACATTTCTAAAAAAATACGTGTCCGCAGAAACTCGTTTGGATAATGTAGTTAGAGTAGCCTACTGGAACTGAAAATTTGCCGAATTTTTCTCGAGAAAGAAAACCGGACCAGCATTTGGTCACAAATCACGTGATCTAATTGTTTTTCCAAATGCTGCACATGACCCAGCCGAGCCCACGTGACTTCTCCCGAACCCTCGAGCTGCTACTTTTAGAGGGAGGTTCAATCTTGGGATCACTCCAGGTAGTCACTGAAGCCAGTCTGAAACACTCATATCTTAGCATGTGTTTGCATACACGATTCCCACTGCACATGGTTGTAAAGAAAATACCCTCTCCCCTATTGTACTAGTGAATCAGGCCAGTGAATTTAGACCAATGAGGTACTGTTTGGGATCATCAGCGTGTCTGGCCGAGCTGTATTGCTGACGCCACAACAGATTATGCCCTCAGTCTGACCTTGTCAGGCCGGTCGGGCCTGGCAGTGCTAAGCTGAGACCACCTTTTGACCCGTTGAGGCAAGTGTAAGCGGTTTGGAGGGGGGAAAACAGAATAACCAAACACACATCCTGTGGTGCCTTTTGCCATCCGCTGGCTTGTGTTGTCTTCAGAAAGAAGCGTGAAAAATGTCATTTATGGGTCAAAAAAGGTGCGAGATGCCCCCCCACCACCTCAATACGAGCCACGAAGTCAAAAAGGACTTTTCCCCCAAAAAATGCAATATTACAGCCTGCCCGAGAGAGAAAATGTGGAAATATAAACTGGGAAAATGTAATTTATGAGTCCCATTTTACTGCAAAATATGTGTGACCAAAGCATGTCCCGGGTGCCGCAATTTTTTCTTCGTAAGGTCTAACACGTAAGGCTAATTGCGCATTATTGAAAAATGTATCTTAGAAGCCCCAATGGAAACTCAAACGTTGAAAAATTTAAATACTGAAACATTTTACAGCGCAACTTTGTATAAAGAGGCATCATTTTTTTAGTTCCGTTGTCTCCAAGTTTCAGCTCTTCTCGGGTCCCCAGCAAATGTACGATCACGGTATTCCATTTTGCATTTTGGCTCATTAACCACAGCTTATGACAAATGGTTATCCCTGATTTTTATTATTTTCCGCTCTCCCTTCCGGAGTAATTAGTTATAAATGAACAGCCAAATCTGCACACAACGTTTTAAATCTCAAGTGTCTATACTTTCTGAAGTAATCTTAAAATGCTAGTGCAGGAAGAAAGTCATACTACCTGTTAATATGTCTATAGCAAGTGTGTTTTCTTGCTACATCGAAACATATTAGGTCTTTCATTGAGGGCAATATTGGACGACGATCACCACTTCACAATCGCCGACGACAACTCTGAAACGTTTTGCAACATAACACCAGCTACTGATGGATCCCCATCGGCCAGTTTGTGCTTAGATCACATGGAGCATCCGTTCGTTTGCCAGCTGTGATGTGATGATTATGAGCTGGGAAAAAAACTCAAAATGGGCCCATTAGGCTCTGCAAATCAACACGAAAAGGCGCTTTTGACGGATGTCCTCTTTATTATTCATGTTAAGTACAGCTAGGCCTCGAATTTCCAGAAGACGGCCACGACGGCCATGGCTAAATGGCAGCGCACCGACGGCCATGGTCGTCGGTGCGCTGCAGTATTTAGCCGTGGTGCCTCCGAAAAGTGATCGTGTAGTTTCACCGCCAAGATTGCAGTAGCAGGTCCTACAATACGTGCATATCGACTGCCCACTTTCAGCGAGGTACACGGAAAGCGCCATGCACACTGCACTGCACAGGCAACATCCGCCGGCCACTGATCTCAGTGCCGCCGGCCTATCCAACGACTTAGTATAAGGGTGCAGACCACTAATTCAAGTGAGAATTTTTGTCCAGCTCATTAGCATTAAACGTGCCCCCCCACAGTATCTTTTCAAAAAGGAGATTTTTTGGCCCCCAAAATGGTGAGATTGTGTAAATCGTTGCCAGGATCAACTCCCTGGGTCTTTGAGCTTTCATATGAGGGCAGAAGGGTTAAAAACTACGGTTGAAAAATGGTCCTAAGTGCCCCAGAAAGTTGAGGGTTGCCACTTGAAAAATGGCTGCAATCAGACTTCGGAAAAATC